AGAAGGACACCTCCCCCCTGTCATAGTCCAGCTGCACTCTGATCCTCTGCGGTTTCCTCTTCAGTCTCAGGGGGGTTGGTGTTGAGTCCCTTGCTGTATACACATCACCATTAGTCAGACGTACAACCCAGAATCCATCCTCTGGTCTGGATGTAATCCTGCCTTTTCTCTTAACAGACTCTGCTGCTACTCCTACATCCCACTTAGGTTTGTCCCCCACCTCCACCTCCCAGCTGTGTTTTCCTGAGTTAAACCCCTCAGAGCCCAGCAGTAACACATATTTAGTGAATCTCTCTGGGTTGTCAGGAAGTTGCTGTTTAACTCCAGTGTCTCTCACGCTGGTCAGATCATCAGATACTGAGAGCCAGGGGTGTGCAGTGTTTGGGTCCAGAGTCACAGGAGCTGTGGGTTGAAGAGGAAGCTGCAGTTAATAATCTGTCTCAATGCAGTAAAAAACCATCAGTGTTATAACATTAACGTCTTACAGTGAGGTAATATGATCATTAAAGTGCTTATATGGAAACTGTAGAAAAATAAATGGGTTATGATAACAGGCCACTTTGCCTTAAAAATCAGTTAAGGTTAAAGATTTTGTGCAATTTAAACTGATACATGTTAGTGTGAAAACTGGAAAAAATTATTTGAAACCTTTTGAAACTGCATACTGTGTATTTCTGTCAATATTTTTAAATGGATATAAGTTAACAAACATTTCTAAATACTAAAAAATAAACAGGTTTTCTTTATACAGCCCGTCCCTCTGCTGTCCAGTAAAGTACATTTACATTTATTTTTTTAGCAGATGTTTTCATCCAAAGAGACCAGTGAGGAAGATCATAGATCACAGGCATACAGCTGTCAGGGAGCCGACTAAGGTACCAGTGTTGCTAGGCTGAGGTCCCAGTGAATGACAGTATAACCCACTCAGGTACGGCTCTCTGCTTTATACAGCCATTTCCCTCAGTACTCACTGTACCAGTGCTGCTAGGCTGAGCTCCCAGTGAATGACAGTATAACCCACTCAGGTACGGCTCTCTGCTTTATACAGCCATTTCACCCAGTACTCACTGTACTGCACAGTCCCCAGCATCTTCTCCCAGACTCTGAACTTCAGAGAGCCCAGGTGTTTCGCCACATCTATCAGTGCCCCTAAAGCCAGCTTTGGGTCCTGCAGTGAGCACTGAGCTCTGCAAAGACAGTGACAGGCAGGAGTCAGTGATGCTATGGGGTCTGAAGTGAGTCCGCAATTTCAGTGACTCCACTCAGTCCAGAAGACTTGCTGACTGGGATAATTAAAGTCTCACTCCTGACCTGGAGATGATATATTACTGTTCATGTTTGTTCTTTAACAGGTCTCTGATCAGCTCCAGGTCATTGCAGCTTTTAAGTAATATTAATTAGCAACTGGAAATACAGTGGTACCTCGGTTCTCGAACTCACTAGAACTCGAATTTCTTGAAAGTCGAACAAACCAGTTTCACCTAGAACTCGATCTGAATATCAGAAGTCGAACCGTGAACGCTGACTTAATATAAATTGTACGCGCCAGAAAATGAGTCATACTACAATGCAATTCTTACTTGAATGCCTTCTTCACAGACTGGACGATTAACCAAATAAAGCAGCGCAACATTACAGTAACTAACAATAAATAAACCACTAACTTACGTGTACTATTAGAGTATTCATGTAATTTATTTAAAACTTTATTTTACCAAGTAAATTAACTGAAAACCAGTTCTCACTGCTTTACGTGATATTCGGGAGAAATAGCAGATTACGCATCGGAACTACATGGGATACAAACGTCATGCGTGTAACTAAACTCTTCAGCCAATAAGGGCAAAGGTGTGTCGTCACGGAGGCGGTTCCAGTTTGTGCAGCCGGGTGAGAGGTCGCAATGCATCTAACCGTAATACATTGCATCAGGATCAGAATCCGTTGCTTTAAGCCAGCGCTGTAAGCAAGTCGAACGCATCCAATGACCTGACTGGGGAAACAAACTGAAACGCGGACTAATAATACAGAGGACTAATGACAACAACCAGAAATAGCTGATTACATGGGGATCCCACACGAGGTTAACGAGGGGGCGTGGCACACGGAAGGAGCGGACGATCGGGGCGGGACAGGAGTAATGTTGGGATAAGATCTTTATCGTTTTGGAAGCCATTAAGAAAAAAATGCTCTGCTTTGTTTTATCCTGTTCATTTTGTGTTTAAATGCTTAAAAAAAAAAAAAAAAAACATATTTAGGTGTCATTTTGGGGGGCCGGGAACCAATTAATTGGTTTTCCATTATTTTTTATGGGAAAAATTCGATCAGAACTCAAACTTTTTAGGATTCGATCCGGAGTCCGGAACGGATTAAGTAGGTACCACTGTAATAATAAATATTAATAATGAATTATTAATAATAATAATAATAATATAATTACTATTACTACATACTTTTCTTTGGTGTCGCTGACGGTCTGAAAAACAGGAAAACAAAATGGAAGCGTTATACACACAATGTGACTGTTTTACAAGGCAAACTGTCAGGCATTTGTGGGAATCTGTGGCTTATTTCTTCTTTGAGGGTGTCTGTTTATACAGGTTGTATGTTCAGCATGGATTGGCTGTGGTTGTATGTACTGATCCATAAAGTACAAAATTCTTGGCCAAGAGTTGTCAGTGTGACTGAGGTGTTTTAACTTCCTATATCTGCTTCAGATACACAGCAGGACTGTTTGTCCCAGTCAGCAAACACACAGATAAATGCAGGAAAATCAAGCTCCTACCTTCAGGAAGGAGACGTCCTCAGCACCCATGGCCTTCTCAATGTCTCTGATCTTCTCTGACAGGGTGGAGACCTGTTTGGAGATGTTCTCTATCTTCTCCTTCATCCTCTCGCTCTTCTCCATCTCGTCCACTTTCAGTATAGCCAGTCTGGCCTCCTCTTCCTCTCTCAGGAACTGATGAAGTTCCTCAAATTCCTCCTTTATCCTCTTCTCAGTGTGCTGGGACTGACTCTGAAAGTGAGAAATGCCGTGTAAGTCTGAAGTTATTCTGTACAGTGGGGTTTTACTTCCTCAGAATAAATCTCCATACCTTGATGTGTTTGGCTGTTTCCTCAAACTCTTGTTTAACTTTTGTAAACTTCTCCAGCTTTTCCTTTAATGGAATCAGTGAAGCTCTTAGGTCCTCCTGAGATAAAATTTACAGATGGATAATAGGAGATACAGTCAACATAGGATTAGCATGTAATACACAGCTTGCTCCTTTTATATTATTGTTATGAATGCTTCCATATTCATTTATCCATTATGGGGTCTTGGTGAACATGGAGTTGAGCCCAGGAAGCACTGGGCAGGGGGCAGGGGGCACCGAGGAAGGGATGTCAGTCCATCACAAGACACATAGAATGGGTAGCATGGATGGCTGGATGAATGGATGGATGGATGGATGGTAAGGGTAAATTTGAAACATATGGGGTACCTTGAAACTGCATCATTGGCCAGACAGCTGAACAATACACAGGGGGAAGGAATTCAGATGGCGGAAGAGATTCAGCGTGACCCACATCCTATAGGAGTGGATTTTTTGTGGGATTTTCCAGTTCATTTTGTCGATATTCTAAAATCCATTGTTTGTCACCCCTGATTTAAAGTATACCGAAGGATGTCCGTAAGTTATGTGTAAATACTATGCCATTTATCATAAGGGACTTAGGCATCTGTGGATTTTGGTATCCAGAGGGGGCCTGGAACTGATCCCCCAGACGGGCCCCCATCGGACGACTCTGACGGCCGATACATTCAGCCTCCTGTTACATATCAGTGCCTATGGAAGTTTTAGCCACATTGCTGCTAAACACACATGCTAACATTTCATGGTGAGTTAGGCAGCAGCTCAAAGGTACAAGGGGGTTCATGGAAGATCAAATTAATATAACATCCTCTGGGAAAAATGAATAATACAGAAGAGAATGAGAATACCTTCTTATCCTCTATAGCTTCTTCCAGTGGGCAGATCCGGTGGTCTCTGTGTTTCCTTGCAGTCTGACAGACCAGACAGATGGGCTCCAGATCATTCTTACAGTAGAGTAGAAGCTTCTCCCCATGGAGACTGCAGCGAGATTCACTCTTCTCTGCCACATTTCTAACCCTCCCTTGCTGTAAATACGACTCCACAATGTTCCTTAAGGTTAGGTTTAGAGGAGGATCCTCCCCGGAGGACTTCCTCCTGCATAATGGACACTCCCGAGAGCTCTTCTGTTCCCAGAACTTCTGCAGACAGACTCGACAGAAGCTGTGGCTGCACTTCAGGACAACAGGATCCTTAAAGAAGTCTGAGCAAACAGCACAGCAGAGCTCCTCCTCAAGGAACGAAGCTGCAGCAGCCATGTTACAGACTCTGTTACGACGCGTCTAAAGACAGACAGTCTGAGGGGAGGAGTGTTTTTTTAAAGTTTCACTTTCACTCTACTGACAGGAAACTCATCTAGGATGTTTAAACTATGTCTCTGTTTTTTCAGAAAAAAAATATTTTGACAGGTCAGTTGAAGACACTTAAATATGTCATTTTTTGAGTTTAACCATTTATGTCATACAGAAATTGAAAATGAAAAGTTCTGAATCATTTAGTGACTTGTGGTGAGTGGAAATGGCGCCTCTAGTGGCAGGTATGAAGCTGGTCACAGCTGCAGGTGGTCTGAGTCAAGCTTGGGGCCATTCATGAACTGAATTGAGAATGCATGGTAAATAACTGGATAAACTTCCTGTAACTGAACTTGGAATTAGAATTGCATGCAGCTTGAAGGGAAGTGGAACTGGAATTAAGCTGGAATATTGGGAAACAAATGAAGTCAAATAAATTCCACAAAATTCAGCTTTCTAAGACAATTTGAGTTGAATTGCTAAAATGAATACATAAAATATTATGAATCACATTGATGACAGACATGTGATATAAAGACAAGAGTAATGTATGTTTTACATGTTATGCATGTTAATTTCTCTATTTACTTTTTATTTGCCTTGTGCAACTGTACAAATCACACACAGTTTACATCTCTGCACTATTTATTTACTGCCTGTTTGCACCTTGCACACCCTGTTACTGTGATGGTAAGTGTTACTATATGTTACTGTATGTTGCACCGGGTCAATGGAGAAACGTTGTTTCATCACTCTTTGTACATGTATGAAGCTGCTGATGACAATAAAATGACCTTGAACCTTGATTTATTTATTATTATTTATTTCCTTATTAAGAAAATACAAATGTCTTACTTTCATTTCTTTTCACTGTTCATAATATTGTCCATTTCAATGCTTTCCTAAATTTAATTAAGACAACATTTCCCTGAAGTCCATGCATTCATCTAAGGTGAAGGCCAGTTAGGGCCTTTGTTGAAAGTGTGACATGGAGTCTTTGTGTTAGTTACACTGGAGAGATTTTTGATTGACTTTTGATTGCTATTTGTGTATGACCTTTATATTGAGAATCTGATTTGTGTATGAACTCTGGAATGCAATAATAACATTAAGATTTGCAATCCCTACTAAACTGGAAATGGCTGAGAAATGTGAAATGTCTTGGAAGACCTCTGAAAAAGATGATCTTGGTGAGCCAGTTCCTACAGCTTCATGTAACCTCAGTGCGGTCTGTAAGCATCATGGTTACCTGTCCATGGATCCAGCTGAGTAACTTTAAACTTTAAATGGCATCTTCAGGTGAGAACTTCTACTGGTTGTGGACCAAGCCATTTTAAAACCAGAGATCTGAATTTTTTACACATGAACTCCACTTCGAAACAAGAATCCTACACAAGTTAAGTATTTCATATCCACTACTATTAAATGTTGGTGTTTGGTTATTTACCAATGCAAATAAAGTGTTTTTATTTATTTTGTTGCATGTGTAAAATTGTGCTTGGGACTCGAAGATTTAGAACGATATCAAGGATAATTTCTGACACCAGTATTCCACTTTCTCATCTTCATCATGCAGCAATGCTCATTTCCAGAAATGTACCTTTCCAGTTGCCATTATTCCATTGAATCAAATAATTGATTGTAGTCACAGTATTATTCATATGTGATATATGAACGTTTTTCTTCATGAAGAAACTTGGCTCACAACATTTTGCCACAAAACAAGAAGGGCAGTGGAAATTCTTGAAACTTGTGCAAAGCTCTCAGCTGCAAATGCAACAAGATGGAAGAACCAGCTGAAGATGATGACGATTTTATTATGATACCTTCACATGTGTTGTCAGAGCTATAAGCCCCTGTTCAGTTTACAGTTAATAGCATCAAGCCAATCAAACTGCTCCATGAAACCCTGGAATCTTTTCAGGAACCAGCAGATAGATGCCAGGCTGATAAAGTGTGAGTTATGTTACTCCATGTGTCAGAGGTCTTCAGCATGCTGTGGAACAATGACACCAAGTACAGTGGCCACAGACATAAAATGCTCAACTGGGAAACGGCTGGCTTAGATTGAAGGTATAGAGTGGACTCAGTTGGCTGTGACCCTGGAACCAAAATTTAAACTTGACTGGCACATGGGTGGAGAAAGAGAGTGTACATCAAAGACATTCTAACATAGAAGATCCTTGTAATATCTTAGTGGGAAAAAGAATAAAACTCTCGGGAACACGTTGCAACTTTGGAAAATCGTTTACTTACCCAAACTCAACTCTCCCAGGACATACCAACATGTCTTACACCAATCACCTCACAGACTGAAGGGCGGGGCTACTTGGCTCCCAGAACCAATCATATCACTGTGATAAGAAGAAAACTTAACCCATTAAACTGTGTCTATTACAGTCCTCTCACTCTCTCCAACAAAAGTAGCAACTGCCAAGAACTGCCCTTCACCACAACAAAAGAGAGCAAAGCTTTTTTGCATTTATGGAAACCCAAGTCCCATCCACATCTATAAAGGCACCAGCATCAGAGGAGGGTACCAGTTACCTGAGGCTACCGTGCCATGCCGAGGGGTCTGATCCTCTCCTGTACTGCATGGGTAACCAGCTCTTTAATTAAGCTCTTCCACACCAAACTCACCCAACCGTGTCTTTATGGACTTTGCTTTGAACACTGGGACACAGTCATGCTGGAACAGAATGGCCTTCCTCAAACCGTTTCTGGAGCTGCGGCCAATAGCAGTGCTTCCTGTGCTGCCTCAGGATTGGTCAGAGCTTCACTTCAGTTTTAGCCCAAATAGTGGCTTCAGTCAGTCTCACCTGCTGTTTACAGTGCAGATCAGTCACTGGAGGGTTAACCCTAATCTCCTGAGCCCCCCCCCCAGAGCAGTCACTGGAGGGTTAACCCTAATCTCCTGAGCCCCCCCCCAGAGCAGTCCTGCTTTCATTCACCCCCCATGTCTGTCTGAAATTCATCTACCCTGTATCAGGAGGTCTTGTTGTGAGAATAAAGGTGTTTCTTTCCTGCAGCTTGTGTGGTGTCTGGCTGCCCATTGCTAACCAGAGGGGTTTCATATGCAGCAGGCCGCCTGGCTAAGCCTTACTTCTGAGGTTTGTGAATAGTAGCTCAGGGTATATTGGCCACAGTAATTTACACTGCACACCTAACCAGCCCTGATCAGGTTTAAATGCAGAGTTTCGGATTAAAATAGACGTAAGTCCTGTGCTCTGTCGACACTCTGTGCTGGTCCCTTTCTGCCTCTTTACAGGGCAGGGTGTGAGTTACCTACCTCCTACCTGTCAAAGGTCCTCAAGGCTCTTAATTAGTGTCTTTAGTTTGCAGTGCCCACTCTGTCCCCTCTGATTAAGAAACCCTGAGTCTTACTGAGATAACCACTGTCTCAGTAACATTTAACGCTTATTGCAGCAGTCAGGGTTAGGGCCTCAGTGTCACTGTCCATCACTGTCCCCTGACTCTGTCTGCCCAGAGAGATGTGTGACTCCTTCAGAGGCTCAATGCCAGTGTCCCCCACTGGCTGCCCCTTGGACAGTGAAGCTCTCTCAGCCGTTACTGCAGGGAGTGAAGCAATAGTCACTGGGGTGACAGGACCTCGGGTCCCGGACACGATACACTGGTTTATGATGGAGCACATTATGGGGGTGTGGTTACAAGGTCATGTGATATTTCATATAAGGGGTGATTTCATTAAGGTTACATTTACTGATGCGTGACTTTGGTAAAGTGTAGATACTGTATAAATGCATCAGACAGTAACATGCAGATAATGGTTATTAAACAGGGTTTAATGTGAATGCTTAGAAAGCCAATCACCTCATTGCTGTAGGTCAGTAATTATTAGCCCCAAAGTAAAAATTAGCATATAATTACAGGTGTGTATTACTGAGGGCCCAGATCATGTGATAATGAGCTCAGGCAGCTTTATTTGTACACAGAAATTCTTTGATTGTAATCATATCCAGTCCTGCCTTCCAATGAGACACGTGAAAGGATGATGTCACTGTCATAGGCACCTTTACTGGGATCACATCACTGTCACAGACACCTTTACTGGGCAGATCTTTAAGGGTCCAGGGTTGCTTCCATCATCATTTACACATGGAGAGAAGAATGGAAACAGTCTCCCAGTGAATGTGCCTTTAAAGGTGTAGATGAGTGACATGTCAGTGGGGTTGAAGAAGGACACCTCCCCCCTGTCATAGTCCAGCTGCACTCTGATCCTCTGCGGTTTCCTCTTCAGTCTCAGGTGGGTTGGTGTTGAGGTACATGCTTCATACTCATCACCTTTCCTCAGAGTCATAACCTGCAATCCATCCTCTGGCCAGTATGCAATCCCCCCCTTCCTGTTAACAGACTCTGCTGCTACTCCTACATCCCACTCAGGTTTGTCCCCCACCTCCACCTCCCAGCTGTGTTTTCCTGAGTTAAACCCCTCAGATCCCAGCAGAAATGCAAAGTTAGTGAATCTCTCTGGGTTGTCAGGAAGTTGGCGATAAACTCCAGTGTATCTCACACTGGTCAGATCATCAGACACTGAGAGCCAGGGGGCTGCAGTGTTTGGGTCCAGAGTCACTGGAGCTGTGGGTTGGAGAGGAAGCTGCAGTTAATAATCTGTCTCAATGCAGTAAAAACCATCAGTGTTATAACATTAATATCTTACAGTGAGGTAGTATGATCATTAAAGTGATTATAGGGAAACTGGAGTAATATGTTATGGAACAGAAACAGGCTACTTTGCAGTAAACTTTCAGTTAAGGTTAAATATTAAGTCTAATGTAAATCAATACAGGTTTGTGTGAAAACTGAAAATGATGATTTAAAAACTTTTGAAACAGCAAATTGTATTTCTGTTAATATTTTAAGAAGAATATCAACACAAGTAATAAAAATATTTAAATAATTAAAAAATAAAGACTAAACACAGGTTTTCTTTATACACCCAGTCCACCCGCTCTCCAGTAAAGTGTTTACAGTTACTGGTTTAGCAGACGAAAGTGACCAGTGAGGAGGATCACAGATCACAGGCATACAGCTGTCAGGGAGCCTAAGGTACCAGTGCTGCTAGGCTGAGCTCCCAGTGACTGACAGTATAACCCACTCAGATACTGCTCTCTGCTTTATACAGCCATTACCCCCAGTACTCACTGCACCAGTGCTGCTAGGCTGAGCTCCCAGTGACTGACAGTATAACCCACTAAGATACTGCTCTCTGCTTTATACAGCCATTACCCCCAGTACTCACTGCACCAGTGCTGCTAGGCTGAGCTCCCAGTGACTGACAGTATAACCCACTAAGATACTGCTCTCTGCTTTATACAGCCATTTCCCCCAGTACTCACTGTACTGCACAGTCCCCAGCATCTTCTCCCAGACTCTGAACTTCAGAGATCCCAGGTGTTTGGCCACATCTATCAGTGCCCCTGAAGCCAGCTCTGGGTCCTGCAGTGAGCACTGGGCTCTGCAAAGACAGCGACAGGCAGGAGTCAGTGATGCTGTGGGGTCTGAAGTGAGTCTGCGGCATCGGTGACTCCACTCAGTCCAGAAGACCTGCTGACTGGGATAATTAAAGCCTCCCACCAGCACTGGAGATATTATATTACTGTTCCTGTTTGTTCTTTAACCGGACTGGGATCAGCTCCAGGTCACTACAGCTGTTAAGTAATATTAAATAGCAACTGAAATAATTGAAAAAAAAAAATAATTATTACTACGTACTTTTCTTTGGTGTCGCTGACGGTCTGAAAAACAGGAAAACAAAATGGAAGCGTTATACACACAATGTGACTGTTTTACAAGGCAAACTGTCAGGCATTTGTGGGAATCTGTGGCTTATTTCTTCTCTGAGGGTGTCTGTTTATACAGGTTGTATGTTCAGCATGGATTGGCTGTGGTTGTATGTACTGATCCATAAAGTACAAAATTCTTGGCCAAGAGTTGTCAGTGTGACTGAGGTGTTTTAACTTCCTATATCTGCTTCAGATACACAGCAGGACTGTTTGTCCCAGCCAGCAAACACACAGATAAATGCAGGAAAATCAAGCTCCTACCTTCAGGAAGGAGACGTCCTCAGCATCCGTGGCCTTCTCAATGTCTCTGATCTTCTCTGACAGGGTGGAGACATGTTTGGAGATGTTCTCTATCTTCTCCTTCATCCTCTCGCTCTTCTCCTTCTCTTCCACTCTCAGTACAGTCAGTCTGGCCTCCTCTTCCTCTCTCAGGAACTGATGAAGTTCCTCAAATTCCCCCTTTATCTTCTTCTCAGTGTGCTGGGACTGACTCTAAAAGTGAGAAATGCTGTGTAAATCTGAAGTTAATCTGTACAGTGAGGTTTTACTTCCTCAGAATATATTTCCATACCTTGATGTGTTTGGCTGTTTTCTCAGACTCTTGTTTAAGTTTTGTAAACTTCTCCAGCTTTTCCTTTAATGGAATCAGTGAAGCTCTTAGGTCCTCCTGAGATAAAATTTACAGACAAATAATAGGAGATACAGTCAATATAGGATTAGCATGTAATACACAGCTTGCTCCTTTTATATTATTGTTATGAATGCTTCCATATTAATTTATCCATTATTGTGAACATGAAGTTGAGCCCAGGAAGCACTGGGCAGGGGGCACTGAGGAAGGGATGTCAGTCCATCACAAGACACATAGAATGGGTAACATGGATGGGTAGATGGATGAATGGATGGATGGTTGGTAAGGGTGTATTTGAAACGTACGGGGAAACTGTATCATCAGCCAACCAGCTGAACGTTACACACAGGGGGAAGGAATTCAGATGGTGGAAGAGATTCAGCGTGACACACCTATAGTAGTGGTGATTTTTGTGGGATTTTCCAGTTCAATTTGTCGATATTCTATCATCTCTCATGGGCCGAGTCAGAACTTTCATCAGGCCGGTTCTGACCCACAGGCCGTATGTTTGACATTCATGATTTAAAGTGTACTGGAGGATGTCTGTAGGTTATATGTAAATACTATGCCATTTAATATAACCTTCCTGTGGTGTTGGGCTCGGCACCGACACATTTTTAAGTTTAAAATACATAAAAGCACCAAATAAAATCAAGGCTTTTTGACGTTGTCAGGAACCTCTATTTAAACAAAATAAAAAATTGAAAATTTACTAGGCAAGGCAAGCCCAGACATGTAAGGCATGTTTATTTATTTAATTCACTTGAGGCTTATTTTACCATTATTTTTTATTGACAACGAGAGGTATGCTGTCAAAAGAAAGGTCCAGAAAGCCACACCAAAAATATTAAAATATTAAAATAAAATATTAAAACCAATCTTTTCATGGATAAGGAAAGACCCAAGAAGTAAGAAACAAACTGGATGATAAATAATTGTTTTGAGGGTATTTTATGGTTGATTTAATACATGGGTCAGCACCGACCCGTCTAAAATTAGAGATAGGAACAGAAAGCTAACACAGGACGAAGGATAAGGGACTTAAGCATCTGCTGGTTTTGGTATCCAGAGGGGGCCTGGAACTCATCCTCCAGACGGGCCCCCATCGGATGACTCTGACAGCCGCTACATTCAGCTTCCTGTTACATATCAGTGCCTATGGAAGTATTAGCCACATTGCTGCTAAACACACATGCTAACATTTCATGATGAGTTAGGCACCAGCTCACAGCTACAAGGGGGTTCATGCAAGATCAAATTAATATAACATCCTCTGGGAAAAATTAATAATACAGAAGAGATTACCTTCTTATCCTCTACAGCTTCTTCCAGTGGACAGAGCTGGTGGTCTCTGTGTTTCCTTGCAGTCTGACAGACCACACAGATGGGCTCCTGGTCTTCTACACAGTAGAGTAGAAGCTTTTCGCCATGGAGACTGCAGTGAGATTCATTCTTCTCTGGAGCCTCAGTCTTCTCTGGAGCCTCATTCTTGTGTTTTAGATGGTTTTCTACAATGTTTTTCAAAATCAGGTTTAGAGGAGGATCATCCATGGACTTCCTCCGGCATAATGGACACTCCCGAGAGCTCTTCTGTTCCCAGAACTTCTTCAGACAGACTCGACAGAAGCTGTGGCTGCACTTTAGGAGAACAGGATCCTTGAAGAAGTCTGAGCAAACAGCACAGCAGAGCTCCTCCTCAAGAAACGAAGCTGTAGCAGCCATGTTACAGACCCTCTTATGACACGTCTACAGCCATAAAGTCTTCAGGAAGAGTGTTTTCTACAGTTTCACTTTCACTTAACTGGTAAGACACCTTCGGGATAGTTTAACAACTATTTTCAGTATATTCAGAAGAAACCATTTGATAGGTTAGTTAAAGACTCTTGAATATCACTTTTTGAGTTTGGCCATTTAAGTTGCAAAGGAATTGTCCAGTTCTGCTAGTAATTATCAATATTTCTCCCTTAGGTCAATAATCCAAAGTGTAAATTAAAAGTGCTGAATCATTTAGAAAATGGCGCCTCTAGTGGCAGGTATGTAGGCAGGATATTCAGCAGGTGGAATTGCTCAGTTCTGCTAGTTACTCACACACTCACTATTCTTTATTAACAAATAAATTTACAGTATGTTTACCATTTGAGTACCTTTATTAGCAAGAAAATGTCATATCTTTGATTCATCCAAGTAGCCTCCTCTAGCAATTATAAGAAGAACAACTACTCCTTTGATTAAGACCATCACCACATGGCCTGAAGATGCACTTTCCCAGCTCCAAGATGCTCTTTGAACATCAGGACCTGGCTGTACACACAGAATCTGTCTTTTCATACATCAAGTTTTGTATCTGGACTGTCACAGTGAACAAACGCATCCGGGTGTTTCCCAACCAAAAGCCCTGGAAGACCAGCCGGGTCAAGACACTCATCATGAACCGAAACACTGCCTTCAGGTCAGGAAACAAAGAACTGTACAGCGCTGCTAGAGCTGACCTGAAGAGGGAAATCAGGAAGCCAAGTCTGACTACAGGAGGAACATCGAAAACCATCTATCTGACAACGACACTCAGCAGGTGTGGCAGGGTATCACTCTGCGGGTGTGGCAGGGTATCACTCTGCCGGTGTGGCAGGGTATCACTCGGCGGGTGTGGCAGGGTATCACTCTGCGGGTGTGGCAGGGTATCACTCGGCGGGTGTGGCAGGGTATCACTCTGTGGGTGTGGCAGAGTATCACTCGGCAGGTGTGGCAGGGTATCACTCTGCGGGTGTGGCAGGGTATCACTCGGCGGGTGTGGCAGGGTATCACTCGGCGGGTGTGGCAGGGTAACCGGCAGATCACCAGTTTCAGGGGACAGACCAATGCAGCCGTGGACTCAAGCATCGCACTAGCAGAAGAGCTGAACACCTTCTTTGCTCGCTTCGAGACCCCTACCCCACAGTCGGCAGCCACCTTATCCCAGCCTCCACCAGTCCCCTGCTCCCACTCATGGACTGTACAGGAACAGGATGTGAAGCAGGTGCCCAGCAGGGTGAACCCCAGCAAAGCCACTGGACCTGATGGTGAACCCGGGAAGGTACTAAGAGCCTGTGCTGACCAGCTCTCACAGGTCTTCACCATCATCTTCAATCTATCCCTGACACAGGCCACCATCCCAGCCTGTCTGAAGTCCGCCACCATCATCCCGGTACCCAAAAAATCAGTCACACACAGTGTAAATGACTTCCGACCAGTCGCACTAACACCCATCATCACCACGTGTTTAGAGCGGCTGGTCCTAAACCACATCAAAGCCCACCTCCCTGCATCTTTTGACCCCCTACCAGTTTGCCTACAGAACAAACAGGTCAACCGAAGACGCCATAGCGATCGCCCTTCACACCGCACTGAGCCAGCTTGAGCGTCGGGAGAGCTACGTCAGAATGCTCCTCATCGACTTCAGCTCTGCCTTTAATACCATCATCCCCGACATCTTGATCACCAAACTGCACAACCTGGGACTCCCCCTACTCACCTGCTCCTGGATCAAGGACTTCCTCACAAATCGGCCCCAGACAGTAAGACTCGGACCCCATCTCTCCTCCACCCGGACACTGAGCACAGGCTCCCCACGAGGCTGTGTGCTGAGCCCAGTACTCTACACCCTGTACACCTCTGACTGCAGATCGGCCCACAGCAGCAACATCCTTGTGAAGTTTGCTGACGACACGACGGTGGTGGGGCTGATCTCAGGTGGAGATGTGTCTGCCTACAGGGACGAGGTTCAGGAACTAGCTGAGTGGTGCTCAGCAAACAACCCACCAAGACAAAGGAGATCATCCTGGACTTCAGGAAAAACAGGGCAGATCCACTTCCCCTCTACATCAAGGGCGACTGCATGGACAGGGTCCAAACCTTTATCTTCCTGGGCAGAGCAGCATCTGCATTTCCTGAGAGTGCTCAGGAAGAACAACATCAGTGAGAAGCTGCTGGTGACCCTCTACCGCTCCACCATTGAGAGCATCCTAACATACTGTAGGCAGACCGGAGGAGACTGCAGAGAGTGGTCAAGACAGCGCAGGAAATCATCGGCTGCCCCCTCCCCTCACTAACAGACATTTACACATCCCGCTGCCTCAGCAGAGCGGAGGGAATCATCAGAGTCAGCACTCACCCTGCCTATCACCTGTTAGAGTCAGCACTCACCCTGCCTATCACCTGTTAGAGTCAGCTCTCACCCTGCCTATCACCTGTTAGAGTCAGCGCTCACCCTGCCTATCACCTGTTAGAGTCAGCGCTCACCCTGTTGCCTTCTGGCAGGCGCTACAGGGCCATTAGGACCAGGAACAATAGACTCAGAGACAGTTTCTTCCCACAAGCCATCACTGCAATGAACACACAAATACGACACACACCACCTCCACATATGGAAAATGTGCAATAATTTTTTATTATTATAATATAATATACACGAATATAGTATAATACAATACTTAACACTATGCGTTATTGCATCTACTACTCTGTCAGTACACTACTGGCTATTGCAGAACGCTGTCTGTACTGCAAACGTAATGTCTGTGTATGTCTGTATATGTCTGCACTTTAGAAGTAGCCACTGCAATTTCATTGTACAAGTAGCATCTGTGCTCCAGTACAATGACAATAAAGGCTTTCTATTCTATTCTATAACAGCAGATAAAATTCCAGACATTCTTTCTACAAGCAACATTAAATACTGCTCTGTTTCATGGGAGGAAACAGTTAACTAGAATGCTTAAAGTTAAGGTTATGCACTGTTACATACTCTTTCTGTGTTATACAGGAAACTTGCTTTATTTGACTTGAACTTTCCAATGTTTAACAAGAATAAAAAATCTGCAGTTTATTAAATAAATTAAAAGGTGGTACAAACCTGAGGTGTACAAACACTTTTGACTGGTCGTGTATTTAATTTCCAATATATCTGAATTACTTCTTGGGGGCTGGGAGCCGATCCCTTATGGGATACTGAGACTGGAGTAGAGAGAGGAAAGCAGCGGGAGAGAACCTGACACCCCCCACACGGGCAGGATTTAATCCCCACACACAGCAGAGGTGGGATTTAACCCCAACATAAATGCCGGTGGGATTTTATCCCCACACACAGCAGAGGTGGGATTTAACCCCAACATAAATGCCGGTGGGATTTAATCCCCACACACAGCAGAGGTGGGATTTAACCCCAACATAAATGGCGGTGGGATTTAACCCACACACAGCAGAGGTGGGATTTAACCCACACACACAGTGGGGGGGGTGGGATTTATCCCCCCACACACCAACGGGGACGGGATTTATCCCCAATACACAGTCAAATAACTTTCTCCCCACTGAGCTTATTTTTTCAGTGAGCTGTATTTCAGCTTGGTAACTTACACAAGATTAACTCTCCTTTCATCTGGGCTCAGAATACAGCTTGGCTTGGTGCAGATATGACTTTACAGCCCATGACTGTCCCATCTGAATGTGACACCTGCGCCACCTTGTGGCTCCTCCTTCCGCCTTACAGGTTACATCCGGGGCAGCTGAGTGTTGCCAGAGCCCTAAGTAGGACTCTGACGATGGCGTGACGGTGTTTGTTTAGGCTGCATATGAAATGTGACGCAGTAATGAATCCTCACAGTAGAGGGCGTTGTGGGCCAGTCAGAGGAGTGAAAGTCATGACTGTACGATTCTGTACGTGTATGTCTGCGAACAGACTGAGCGCAGCAGCTTTGCGAGACTCAAGACCACCTGAATGACTCTCTGCTTAAAAAGCTGCGGCTGCTGTTACCATTCAGAAAGGGAATAAATGGCCAAGATGATGATGGTTTAATAATTAGAACATTAAGAGCAGGATTTCCTTTAGAAGTTTATTTTAATGTGAATAGAAAGTAAGTCCTTTCAAGTCAAACACAGTCCATCCATCTATCCATCCACCGTCCGTCTCTCCATCCATCCATCCATCCCTCCGCAGACCTGTTCTCCGGGTGACGGTCTCGGCACTGAACCCGTTCACTGGTTCTGCTCGTGTCATGCGGGCGAGTGCGAGTTTCGGGATTAAGGAGCGTAATTAGCTGAGGCAGAGCGGGATCTCGTGGGTGTTTTGAGGGGGGTGGGGGGTGCTGTGCTGGTAATGCATGGCACTAGGACACATTGTCAAACTGGGGGGGGGGGCCCTCCTCCTCCTCCTCAAATCGACACCACAAGCCCCCCCCCAATTTCAACTCCCACCCCCTACCCTCAGGTTGAAAAATGCTGGGTGGGGCCTAACTGGTGATGCTAAAGGCCCTGTAACTGCAGGCATGTGATTGGCTGCAGTACTCTGTCTTAAGTCCTTCCTGTACCCCGACTGGTTGAGCAGACATGAAGAGAGGGTGGCAGCTTGTGTCGGCCAATGGCTGAAGGCCGGGAGCCAGGAGGGAGGAAGCTGGCTGAGCCCAGCTGGAGAGTGACGTGATGACAGGCGGCATGGAGGTGAAGAATCACCCCATCTACAGGTTGTCAGCATGAAAGGCAGGCTGTCACTGCCAGCCTTAGGACGGCCCACAGCAAAACCACCTCCCGCGCCACTGTGCCCTGTGCCCTGTTCAAACGGAGAGTCGACCCAGTTGGGCTCCCAGCCCAGTTTGGCTCCCAGCCCAGTTCGGCTCCCGGCGCAGAGGAAACCCCTCTGCGGTGAAATGGATGGGGGCACTAACAGCGACAGGACTGGAAATTCACTTGGTCCACCTTGTGGTCTGTGGGTGTCCCAGTGGAGCAGAACAGGAACCTGCTTCACGTTCATGTATCATCTGGGCCTTCCTGTTATTTTAATGTTGCTGGTGCTAATTAAAATGTTTAATCAGTGCACTTACAGTCATTGTTAGTATGATGATTATTCTGCTGTGCCTCCCCACGCTTCCCAGAGATGGGGGGTGAATAAGTAAGGTGCCCTAAAAAGGGAGTGAAAATGGCACAGGCAGATGGGGGGGTGGAGACCAGAGATCGCCCCCCCCAACTTTTGCCCTATTTGCTGCT